TTTCTCTTATTAGTCTCCATGGATTTCACCATCTTCGAAATTATCCGAATTAGTCGTTGCAGTTTTGCAAAATTATTCCTTCATCGCGTTTCTCGTTACCAACTCACTTACTTACTTTAGCGATTTTTTTTTCTTTTTCTTTTCGATCGAATTTTGTTGTTAGTTGTAGGAATCACGAAGATGGCCGACTGTCGAGTAAAATTGTATATCTTGAACTTTGGGCCATATGCAATAACCTGTTCAATTAGAATTTTATACATATCGAAGTCGGATTAATCGAAGAAATTAATATGCTCGTAGAACAATAGCAAGATATATTCGGTAATAAACATTATTCACTGTCGCTGCACTTGCCATATTTATGGACCACGGCGATCTTTTGCTTTCATCAGAGAATCAAAGTCCTTGTTCGCCCTGATTGTTACACAATTTTTGCCGGAATGAAGTCGTGCAAATTGCATATTGCGATCTCTGTGCATTCATTTTCACACCGTGAAATTATTAATATAATGAACAGTGGTGCCAGTTGAATAGCTTTAGTATCGATAATTAGCCTAATTCATTTGACTTGATAATTATGGTGGCCGGGGGCTAAAACTGAAATTATCTTCGAACTTTAAATCGTAATTTAAATGAATTTTTCAGTCTGCTCTTGCGAGTAAAAAAGTTCTTGCTAATTTTGAAAATATATACGAAATCTCGTAGATCGCTTATGTGCCTCTGTGATGAATGTCACGAGCCCGGCTTTCAATTGTCGATAATTGGAGACAGATTTGAATGAGAAAGAGCTTAATCCATTTCACCGGTTGAACTGGCTTTCAGGCCACGTGCACACCAACATACCATCGTCTGACTTGTATTTAAATGCGAGGATCATTCCTCTTTGACCTAATTTCGACGTTCAAAGAACGTTCCTTTCAAACGGCACGTTCTTTCCTCGAGAAAAAAAAAATGGAAAATGCATCTGTTTCAATTCACCGTGCAAGTTCTTCGTAACTTTTTCAAACTTGCAGTGTCACGGAACAAAAATGGGTAATCGCTGTCCCATTAATCGTAAACGACTATTCGTAATGAAATGAAGCAAGCACAATTCATTTCGTCGATGTACGAAGCCAACTGTATTTTTATGCTTTCGTATGAAAGGCAGTGATTTTTCCACGAATTGAATTTTAAATGCTCTGGGAAACCTCGTGCCAATTCACCGAATCGATTTTTGTACCAGTGAGAAATTAATCGATCGATTTGACGTGCTGTGACAGAATGTGTATCACACTATTTAGCATCTTAGCACATGTATAAAGATTGTACAACAAATGTGTGTGTGTGTGT